TAGGGCAAGGCAGCATCAGAGGGGACCAGACCCGAAGAGAGTGAAACTTCAATGGGTCCCTGAACAGCGAGTTGTGTGGCTTTCTGGGGATATCTATCCAGAAATTCCTCCCAAAGCAACAGAAGCTGGAAGGCTGGAGGGCCTAGGTCCATGCTATTTGTGAGTAACCTAAACTAAGGGTAAATAAGAGCTTGCCAAAGGAAACCCCCTGGCATTGTGGGTTGGAGAGAAGTAGTGGAGGTGTGTAGCAGGAGACCTGCTACTGGAAGGAAAAGGTGCATTTTGTAACTTTTTGTTCTTTATTGCAGAGGGCAGGCTAGGGAATGCAGCTTGCAGAAAGATAAGCTGCAGGGCTCCAGGCAGCTAGTAAGGGGTTGGAAAGCCCTGTTTCTGATTTGGCTAATTGGCAGCACTTAGGCCTTGTCTCCCAAGAAATCCAGTCGGGACTTCTAAGAAGTGTCCCAGGAAGAGGGAGAGGCAAGAGCCATATAAACCCAAACTAGGAGGGCAGATTAGCTCAGATGCTTACAACAGAAGCTCTGCAAGGGCAGTTTAAAAGGAGACAAGTTATGTGTGTTGTTTCTGTTGCTGTTTGGTGGTTGTGTTACCCTGTGAAGTTTGGGGTGACTTAAAGGGAAGGAGGAGGCCCAAGGGAGGGTGACATTACAGAGGGTGCCAGGGAAGTACCCCATAGTTTGGGGGGCTTTGTTCCAAGGGTCTAGTGCAGAGATGGGGCTGGGGACTCAGCATAGAGAGTGCAAGTGGCAGAGACCAAATACATATGCTGACATCTTGATCTGTGGGCACACACTGTTACAGGCATTGTAACTGTTTCACCATTACTTCAATCTCTGTTAACAGTTCCTTAAAAATACCACTGAAGCTCATAGCAGTTCCAGCGCTGTTGTCAAGCTCTGATGAACTGCAGCTGGACAACAGAAAAACTCAAGAGAACTATCCTAGACACTCAGAACAGATACTTTGTTTCCACTGGATCCACCTGAAGTACAATTGATGTCAATGGATAGGACTACTCATCAAAGTTTCTGACCTCTATCATAGTTCCTGCTTTGGGAAGCTTGGGGCAGCTGGAAGGGATGACCAGCTAATGATTGTAGAGCTACTAAGAGGATTAGGAGCTCCAGGAGTTGAATGCAAAGGGTAGGTTCTTGGGGGAAGCCCAGAGAGCTAAAATGGTCTAATGTCCAGAAAGGAGGCAGAGTTTTGTTTTGTGTTTAAGGGGAAGAATAAAACTAGCTTGAGAAGCTGAGAATGGAGCTGGCTTTGCTGTCTAAAGCAGCAGGGTTAGCGACCTGTTTACAGAGCCCCTCATTTCAAAGTTGTTAAAATGATGTGTGTTACAATAGGGTGATAAAGAAAAGGAGTGAATAATTCAGCCTTCATAATAGGGGTTGAATATGGAATGGAATAAAGCAAGAGTCCTGTGTGTAAGAATATCAATCCTATAGCTAATGCAAATGCATATGAACCAAGAACTTTGTTTTATAGGCACCCTTAACTGTGGTGTTTCCTAACTTTGGTTGCTTGATTTTGCAATTTTTACGCTCAGCTTCTATTAACATAGGTGCAGTGTAAGCAGTGAGTCTTAAGCTATATTGCTTGCAAAAGGGAGGACTTAAAATTATTTGAGTGATACCTTAAATAGTGTATGGCTAATTTCTTAATTAATGTCTGTTGTGCAATTGGGTGTTGAGACTTCTTGTAAGCAGCAGATATGCAACAGTAAAACCCACTTCCAATTAATTAAGATGGATGTCAGGTGGCGTGTTATGGTTGTTTGGCACACTTACTTGGCATTTCCATCACACTGAATAAAACTTTTGGTGGGAAATGTAGATTTGAATCCCCTCATTCTGAGGAGTTATATGCCATGTCCCCTACTTCCATTTCCTGGGTGAATGTTTTCACCCTTAAGGTATTCTATACAGAATGGTCCCTTTCCTCTTTTGGTTGCATTATGTAACTTTCTTGATTCTCTTTTAAGCTACCCTGACCCCTTTTTGGAGAAGAGTGGTCTATAAGTCTAATAAATATATCTGGTGAACATGATGAAAGAACTTGACAGCATGGACAAGTCCATGGGCTCTGTCAGTGGCCAACTGCAGCAACATACAGCAAGAGCAACAGCTGCTTATGGGCAACATTGTGGTGGGAACACTTTCCCTCTGGGTAGTCAGATGACACTTTCTATAAAAGCAAGTGCTGCTGACAAGAAGTGTGGAACCAAAGCACCAGCATGTTACTAGTAACAAACATTGATTATATGCTAAGCCTGATGACTAGCTTGGAAACAGCTTCCAGGCAAAGATCAGAACATAATATAATAGCTATTACTAACCTCTCTTAAATATGCAATTCCAGGGAAGTTTTGGCAATGATAACCTGACAGTCAAGTTCATGTAAACTCAGTTGTCAATTAAATGCTGCTAAATGAAGTTGTGTGTTTGGAATGCTTCTTTGTGGCAGTACTGGGCTGAAAATCTCCACTCCTGTGTGTGGGAGGTGGTAGATTTGAGGGTACCTAACCTCTGCGTGTGGGAGGGATCGTATTTGGGCAACCAGGCCCCAGAGCTTGAATCACTGTGTGGGAAAGAGAGAGAAATGACAGAATGAGGTAGGTAGATTGAGAGGAGAGGCTATTGCAGGCAGGCAGGCAAGCACCCAGGACTGTGGCATATCCTCATTGTGCAACAGCCCACTCCCTGAGATTGTTGGGCTGGCTTGTTAAGGCCCCAGTACAACTCACTGGCTCATAACCATCCAGCCATGCAGTTTTAGGAGTTGTAGGGACCTTAGGACTGCTTGAGGGCAGGGGCTGGAAAACCAAAGCAGGCCACCATTTAAGATGCCAGCATGCCCAACAAGTCCCAGCTGATTGCTACAGGGCATAGGGATGTCATGGGGGAAGGGGGAAAGACCCGTTAGAGTAATTCTACTAGTTTTCCATGCTGATCTGTTGGCTTCTAGGCCAGTGGTTCTTAACCTTCTTGGATTTGAGGCACCTCTCCATAACTTCTGTGAAGTGAATGGCATGCAAATTAGTTTAGCACACTAGTTTATATAATCCAGTGCTTACATCTTTGGAGAGGGCCAGGCAGTGAGGGTGGAAGATCAGCCAGGCAGGGTCCAGCCTGATCTTATGTTTATCTAGCTATGTCTTCACACCTCTGGGTACTATTCAAATCATCTATTGGCACTTGAAGGTGCTGCAGCTCCCTGGTTGTGAAACACTGTTCTATGGCAGTGGTTTTCAACCTTTTTTATTCATAGACCCCCTAACAGAATTCAAATGGAGGTGTGGACCTCTTTGGAAAGGTATCACTCATTCTCATTGCCCATTTCTGGAAAGTAGTAGGGAAACTGAGATTTGAGCACCAGCAAGTGTTCCCTGATTTCGCTTTTTTTCACATCACTCTTTAGCATCAACTCATTTTCATCCAAAAAGCTGTCAAGGGTTTCAAATGTGTCTAAGTTGTTTTCTCTTATATGAAAAACCCAGAGCTGAAGCTTCTTGATAAAAGCCATCAGTCCCCTGCATATCACAGGTAACCATTCACCCAGGGCTTCCCCCAGATGGCCACATCAAACCCACACATATTCACATGTATTAGATGTGCTGTAATGATGATGAGAAGTTGGGGCAAAGTCTGAGCTAGCAGATATCTGTATACATCACCAGACTTGTTTACTTGTGTCCTCCCATCAATTTTGTAGGACCTAACCTTTTACTAAATGTGTGCTGTTCTTATTGTTCTAGATAAAGCTTTCCATAAATGCTTCTCAGCACTAATTTTCCCAGTGGATTCATTCTATCCAGACTGGTTTACTCATGCTGTCTCCCTCAGCCCCCACTCACTCCTGCTCTGTTCCAATTTATAGATTGATCTTGCTGGGGCTGTAGCATTGCTGGGTCCCATGTGAAGTGCTGGTGGTAGGAGGATGAGGTGGGGCTGCAGAGCCGTGCTCTGCCTGCTGGGTTGCCTGCCCCTGGTGCTTGGCCAGCTTCTGTGCATAGGGAGAACAGCAGCAGCTGTGACACTTCATCTTCAGGTGGAGACACCATCTTTACAGCCAACTTTTGCAGACCCCTAGGCATGGACCATAGGTTGAAAAGCAGGTTCCAGGGCAATGGATGGTTTAGAAGCCAGTAAGAAATTTTAGAGGTCCAAGACTGGCAGAGTGGTAAGAAATGTCAGGGTAGTTGTTCAAAGCAGGCCGGGTCACTTGAGAGAAATGGAAGCCAAATGCGAGTGCCCCAAGGAAGGAAGAGCACAGGCTGTACCTGCACAAGGGGAGGTGTCTCCTACAGAGCATTGACTGAGAACAGGTCTGAGAAGATGTGTACTATTTGCAGGTTAGTTACTGTGCAATAAGTAAGAGGCAATCCCGGTGCTGGAGTTTTGTTTCTGTATTTGCCTGAAGTCGTAAAAAAAGTTTCAAAAACCCGATGAGTCCATGTTCCCCGCGCCAGGCTGGGCCGGAGGGACAAGACAGGCCTGGAGGTGTCAGTGGTGGCAGGGAGCAGCGGGGTTTAGTTCACGGCCGGCGACAGTA